CCAAAAGCCAGCAGAATCTAGAAAACGTGGTCACAGGGACCAAAGCTGCCGTGCATTGGAAGTAGTTAAGACACGTACGGTCTCAATAATAGACAAATGCGAGCAAACGGTAAAGAGCATAGTAATAGGAAGAGTGGTAAGTGGTGCATACTAATGGAAGTACTAGGCAAGAAACACTTAACAATGGCCCGAGTGCCGCCAATAATCAGGAGCGAGCTCGGAGCGAAGGAGACCATGCGCACGATGATAACTTGGATAGGCGCAATGAGTGTAAGACGTAGGAATAAAAATGGATCGCAATAGGAGAAAAGGCCAAGGATAATAGGAAAATAAAAGCAGGTAGGAAGAGACAGACGGGGCAGGTGAGGCAAGATGACGGCAGGGTAGTAAAGCTTGCCGTCCGATTTAAAAAGGATTGAAAAGAGATAGCGATGGAAAAGATTAGGGTCTAGATGAGAAGGGATTATTGGTAAAGCGTGGAAAGGCCCGCAAGTCCCCCACGTTGTGTTTACAGAACCATTAGGTCAGCCGAACCAAGAGAAGTGATGTCTCAGATAAAGTAAATAAATACATAAATATTTTATTCCCGACTGTGCGAGGCACGCCCATGGAGGCATGATCAGATATCAAATGTATTCATTGAGTATGAGGCCGACTAATCTGGTCTGGATTAATCGGCGCTTTTGTGCCAGGTGTATAAAGAAGGTAACAAAAGGGCTATAACACTAACGAGGGAACTAGTCTAGCAGTCTCGAGGATTTGTAACGTCGAAGAACTCTGAGTGAAATCAGAAAACAAGTAGCCAGTCTGGCGAGACTGAGTTAGTCAGCGCGTAGAAATAGCACGTAAAATAAACGCAGGAAAAGTGGCTGTAACAAAAGAGGGTGAACGAGTCTAGCAGCCTCACGAGGTGGGGGAACAAGAGCGTTGAGTCTGCACAGCGTATACCGCTTAAGTCCGGGTAGTATAAGAGCAGTCCGAGAGAAAGAAACTAAACATTGGGACCAGATCACCACAGGGCCAGTTGAAGAAGAATTGAAAACAGAGCGCGATATAATACAAGTTAGCGTCAGCATGAGAAAGGTTCATTGACGAAGGGTGGGAGAAGCCCACGAGGCTCTCCAGGTAATGTAATCGGGTAGTTGAGTTAGCCGAACCAAGAGAGGTGAGGTTTCAGAAGTCGGAATAAAGCCGGAGAGCAGGAGGCCGATCGGATAGGACTTGATTAGTCGGCTCGTTTGGATAAGGACATGTAGTAAAGGTAAGAAAAGAGCCAGCAGTAAATAGTGGGTAGGTCAAGCAGGCTCTAGATTTAAGGGAAACATCGTGTTTAGACTGCGGGGCGTATACCGCGTGGGGGAGCCCACGAGGCTTTCCAGGTGATGTAAACAAGATGTTGAGTCAGCCGAACCGAGGTTTATAACGTGGAATAACTCTAAAACTGGTAAACAAGTGGCCCATCTAGCGAGACTAGATTAGTCGGCGCGTATGAATAGCACGTAAAATATAAAGGCAGGATAAGGTCCGCAACAATAGAGGGTGAGCGATTAAAGTAGAATTTCCGGGTAGGGGAACAAGAGCGTTGAGTCTGCATAGCGTATACCACTTAAGTCAAAGTAGCATTAGAGCATTCAGAGAGAAATAGGCCAGTCAGTGGGACTAGAGCACCTCAGAACAGTAAGGTCGGGCACACCAATTAAAGCAGAAATGAAAACAGAGCGCAAAAATAAAAGTTGGGGTCATGATGGGAAAGGTTTATTGAGGAAATGCGGGAAAAGCCCACGAAGCTCTCCAGGTAATGTAATCGGGTAGTTGAGTTAGCCGAACCAAGAGAGGTGAGGTTTCAGAAGTCGGAATAAAGCCGGAGAGCAGGAGGCCGATCGGATAGGACTTGATTAGTCGGCGCGTTTGGATAAGAACATGTAGTAAAGGTAAGAAAAGAGCCAGCAGTAAATGGTGGGTAAGTCTAGCAGGCTCTGGGTTTAAGGAAAACATCATACTTAGACTGCGGGAGGTATACCGCGTAAGTCCCATTAACATGTAGCAGATTAGAAATGACTATATCTGGAGTAGTTGTCAGGAACGACATCCGTATGAACTCAGTTTGTTGCGCATTCCAGAACAACCTCGAACCTACTTTACGTTTACTTGAAAAGAAGTACCAACTCTGGTAATGGCAATACTGTCCTGTTTTCCGCCGAACAGGGCTGGTTACTTGACGACGGTGCGATGAAAGCCAGTCTTATGGCTCCACAAGTTTCATCTGTCTGCCCGATAGGGACGCCGTTATCCAATGAAACTTCGCCAATCCACTTATCTTCGTTGTAGCACGTAGAAATGACTGTAGTCGACATTACCAAAGGCCACCGTAAATTAGAGCAGAACTCCCCGTCGGGCCCTAATGGGCTGCGACCGCTGTTCCTCCATACGGTGGCCGACTACGTTGCTGCTCCGGATTGTCAGGTATTTCGTCACTCAACGGAAGCTGAACGACTCCCGGTTGCTTGGAAATTAGGAACAGTTAAAAGATATACAAGAGTGGGCAACGTCAATGTCCCGCAAGCTAGGTACCTACCTGCCTACTGTCCGTAGTTCGCGCGTTTATTTAAAGGATTCTCAAGCGCGCTCGGCTGCTTCACTTCGAGAACCTATTTGCCACCTCCTGCTCTGCATCCCTTTCGGCGGGCACGCTCACGTACTTCGAATCTGTTTGTTGCGAGGGCGAACTGCGCGTGGTTGTTAGATGCTAGGAAAATATCGGATGTGGTTTTTATAGACTTCAGCAATTCATGACACACGGCGGGCGCTCCAACACTCGAAGCGCTATTTCTAACCGCTGTGTTAAACAGTGCTCCCGCAGCGCAATGGCCTACTGCTCGTGGCGATAGCCGCCAAGCACTTTGTGCCGATTTCCACTCCCTGATTAGCTATCTCTACCTGGTGGGTCGATACAAAAATGAAACCGTCGGTCGTGGTGTGTGGAGGAGAGAGCCACGCCGAAACCCGCCACTTCGGTGATGGTCTCAGTGGCCGTATTGGCAGAGGCTGACTTTAAAGTCAATCGACGCCAAGAGTGAGATTGCGAGTGGAAATCCAAGGCGCACGGCGGGTGCACCACAACCCGAAAATCTACTTCCAACTGCTGTGTCAAACACTGCTCGCGGCACTCAATGGCCATGGGATCAAGGCGATAGCCGCCAAGCAGTTTGCGCCGTGTTCCACTCCCATCTCAGCTATATTTACCTGATGTGTCTAACCAAAGACGAAACCGTCGGTCGTGAAGTACAGGGATGGAAGAGAGTCACACCGAAACCCTCAACTTCAGCAAGGTTTTTGACAAGATCCCCCGCGCAAGGCTCCTTCTTAAACTCCGGGCTACCGGTATCACTGGGAATGTCCTAATTTGGAACGCTGGTTGGTTGGATAGCCGGACCATGCGAGTCAAGGTGAATGAAGCATACTCCGCTCCTGTGCTCTTGACTAGCGGTGTTCCGCAAGGGTCGACGCTTGGTCCAGTACTATATGTGGTATTCATCAATGACCTCCCCTCGGAGCTTCAGCTGCATTGCCTGGTTTACACCGTTGACAGGAAACTGTGGAGGGTGGTACCCATTCTCGAAGAAGCTGATCGATTGCGGGCATAATTGGACGTGCTACACAACTGCTCAGTCAACTGGGAAGTGCCGATAAATCGTGAAAATGCTGAGTACTCCCCATAGGTGCCCCTGTATCGGTCGGGTTATCCCATATGTTTGGGGTGTTGCTCAAAACCACCGTGCTTGAGAAAGGTCTCATGGTGCTTGTCTCATCTGATTTGCGGACCACAAAGACAATCTACTTAGGGTTGCCGCTGCTCGCGGCGTGCATCGAAATACATCTTGGAGTTACGGGACTTGCCTTATCCACGAAGACTTCAGCGGATGAATCTGTTCACCCTGGATTATCGCCGACGTCGCGGTGACCTGATTTTCACCAGGCGTATCCTGAGAGGAGAGATGGGGACGGAGCTGCAGGCGTGCTTTCAATCCAATCCAAACAGTTCAACTCGAGGCCACAACTGGAAACTGTTTAAACCCAGAAGACTTCGGATTCATCCTGCTCTCGATCTATCAACTCGCGTAGTCAACGATTGGAATAACTTGCCGAAGTATGTGGTCGAGGCCCAGACGGAGGAATGTTTCAAGCGAATGTTAGACTCTTATCTTTTGAGTACGATGGGTCCTTGCAGTTTCCAGTGTAGCTGTCAAGGTCCCTTGTGGATTACCGCATAACATCGAATCGCGGCCTCCACACAATGATTGGGAAGCGATGGAGCTGACAAAGGATTTCTCCTTCTGCTCTCTACAATCCTATGAACCTACGAACCTATGAACAGAGGGTCCCACGCCATACGGTGAGACTTCTAGCGACTGACTCTGGTAATCTTCAGAATCCTGTTTACTTCCAATGTGCGCCCGATCCTTGAATACAGAATACCCCTATATAATATTGCGACTCAAGGGCACAACTATAAACTATTAAAACCCCGAAGCTGCAACTTTGCTCCACTCTCGCTCCATCAACCCGCATTGTAAAGGACTGGAACGACTTGACGAAATATGATGTCGACGCGCCGACTGAGGAATGTTGCTTTCGACTTTTGGATTCTCACTTGATGGGTTGGCTGGGACCTTGCTTCTTCCAATATAGCTGTCACGGACCCCTGTGTAATACCGTCCAGTAGCAAGTCACGGTACTCAGCAATGATCGGAAAGTAAAGGAGCTGACAAAATCATCCCTCCTGCTCTGTACAATCCAATAATCCAATGAAATAGCTGGATATGTTAGCAGTACTTGCTTAGACAGGCTAATTGCAATCAGCTTTTTGGCCCATTTGTAGTTTAAGTCCCTAGTAACCATCTAGTTCAACGAGCCGCTAAGTCTGAACGTTCACGTGATACTCCAATACTTCCCTTCCAAGTTGACTTTGACTTTGACCTTGGGTGGTGTAGAATTCAACAATGTCGGCTCCAGGTGTCACGTTTTATGGATACGCAGCGGATACGAACGTTCAAGGTCCGCCTCCAAGTTATTTTAGCCCAAATGAAATGTAAGCTAAGCCTTTAATACTGCATTTAAAGAACATAATTGTTTAACTTATATTTCTATGATTGCCTTAGATATCAATATCTGCGTGACGAGTTTTCGTTTTCACGCTTATGTCTTACGGTTCTTTTTGTTTTCTTTTGATGCTTTTAAGCTTTCTATGATATTTCATTAATACTTGATCATGCGTGCGAGTTGCTCTGGGTAGCAATTGAGAAATCCAGATCTTTCTTGCGACTCAGCGTCAGGCACATTTGACGCTGATCTGCTTGAACTTACGCTCCAAGTATCTTTGCACCAGTTCATTGACCTCCCCACTAGGTACATGGACGCCCAAGTGCCGTCTATTTTGGACCTTGTATTCGCTAAGTCACTCGATTTTGTTGATGACATTACTTACGGACCTCCACTGGGTTCCAGTGATCATGTTTGTTTGCTCTTCAATTGTACTCTGTCTAGACGCTACCAGAGTACGGTTGAGTTTTGCCCGAACATATGGCAAGCAGACTATCAATCAATGACAGCCAAGGCTTCTGGTTTCCATTGTGAGATCTCAGACGACGATACTGTCCAGGTTGCCTGGGATAAATTTAAGTCCTACCTCACAGAGGTCTCTGCTCCCTTCATACCAGTCACAAGGAGAAAGGAGGCCCGAGCACAGCCGCCCTGGATAGATCCCACTGGCAGGCATCTGCTCACAAAGAGGTCTAGATGTTGGCGGACTTACCGAGACGCTCCGTCCACCGATACTTATGACAGGTACCGTAAAGCTAGAAATAGGTGTAAGCAACACCTAAGGGATGCTCGGCTCAATTTTGAAAAAGGGTTAGCGGACGATGCTTCAGAGAATCCAAAAAGATTCTTCGCTTATGTCAAAAGGCGCTGCGCTTCGAACATGTCAATTCCAGTGTTGATGCGTGATGACGGTACTCATGCGCATACGGATTATGACAAGGCCTGCGTACTCAGTGGGCAATATGCGGCAGCGTTTGTAAGGGAAACCTCTTTGACAGGCGTTGAGCTGGTTTGCAGGACCCCAGAGGGTTCAGAACTATCTGAATTTATTGTAGCGGCGACGGAAGTTCGTAGGCTGTTACAAGGGCTGAACCCTTCTAAGGCCTCTGGGCCTGATTTAATTCACCCGAAACTGTTGCATGAGTTGTCTGCGGAACTAAGTGGACCGCTCACTATTGTGTTTCAGAAATCGCTTGACAATTGTGCATTGCCTTCCGAGTGGAAGGAAGCTGTCATCTGTCCCATCTTTAAACATGGGGACAGGGGTCTGCCTGCAAATTACAGGCCAGTTAGTCTGACGAGTGTAGTAGTCAAACTCCTCGAGAAACTGGTGAGAGATTCATTGGAGAGTCATCTAAGTAGATTTAATCTACTTAGCAATGTACAACACGGATTCCGGAAGGGATTTTCGTATCTGACGAATCTGTTGGTAGCTCGCGAAAATTGGGCGGATGCAGTGGATAACGGCCACACACTGGACGTGCTTTTCGTCGACTTTTCGAAGGCATTTGACAAGGTACTCCATTTGAGGCTCGCGCAAAAGTTGTCCTCCTACGGGGTATCTGGCCGCGCCCTTCATTGGGTGACTGCCTTCTTGGAGGGTAGAGAACAATGTGTACGGGTAGGCCGGGGATCTATCATTTAGGCAATCTGTCCTCAGCGGCGTGCCGCAGGGCTCGGTCCTTGGACCGCTGTTGTTCTCTATCTATGTGAATGACCTACCCACGGAGCTTGAGGTACCATCGCTGCTATTTGCTGATGACCTGAAGCTGTGGAACATTGTTGATGTTCCTGGGGGTTCCGAAGCTATTCAGCGAGCATTGGATAAGCTTTGGGACTGGTCTACTTTATGGTTACTGCCCATAAATCAGGCAAAGTGCTCCGTTCTTCGAATTGGAGGAGGTTATCCTCCTGGGAAGTACTTGGTCGGTGGGGTCGAACTCCCCCGTGTATCTAGCCAGGTTGACCTAGGCGTCGTACACTCTTCGGCATTACACTCCGGCGACAACTGGAAGAAGGCCGCAAGCAGAGGTTTCCGCATGTTATGGTTAATCCGACGTTCTTTCGGAGTCTTGACGGGCGGCATCTTTACGAGGCTGTTCTCGGCTTTCGTTCGCCCTCATCTGGAATACTGTGTCCAGGCTTGTCCGCCCTGCCTCGTCCGGGACAAATTGGAGCTGGAGAGGGTTTTACGAGTGGGTACTAGGTTAGTCGAGGGATTACGGGGACGGACGTATCCCGAGCGTCTACTTAGTTTGGGAATGCATTCTATGCACTACCGAAGGCTTATAGGAGACCTAATCCTAACCTACCGTATCTTGACTGGGAAGGTTGGTCCAGATTTATCTTGGCTATTCAGTCCCGCTAGATTGTCTGTTCTACGCGGTCATTCGTTGAAGCTGGACAAACCGCGGTCCGATCGGATTAGGGCGGAAATCCGGCTGTCACGCCGAGTTATCGACCGCTGGAACATGCTTCCGGAAAGTGTTATCAGGGAATCTACGGTTAAGGGGTTTGAGCGGCAACTTGACGCTCTTGGGTGGCAACACGAAACCTTTCCATTTTCCTGAGTAACGCATCTTCGTACTTCGATTTTCTTTTCTCTACTTTTCTTCACGTATTGGTATTATTTTCTTATTTAAGTGCACTTCCCTATTCTGTACCTTCGATTTCTCTTCCTATCCTTTGCTTATTTCACGTGACTGCCAAAGCAGGGACTGCTAGGGCAGGAAACGTGGGCATTAACTGGTTGGCCAGGGTGCGATACGGGTGTTTCCGTTTTAGATCCATCAATAACTGAGCACTTCATCAATTCCTGGCTCAACGATCCACTCAAGATGGAACACTCACGGGATTCTCCTATCGTCCAGTCCCCATCTGAACTGAACTGAACTTAAGTGTCACTGGAAGGTCAAGTTCCCAACACGGTATAGGCTTCCACCTAACTAGCGTCCTGCTTCGTGCACCGGCAGTCAGCTAAGAGCCGTCGATATTTCGACTTCCTTACACACCATCCGCAAAGACACGGACACAAAACGAAACTATGGTGTACTTCATTTTTCATGAGTTCTCTGCAACAAGAATCAATGAGTTTACAATATTTATGGCAAATGTTCTAACCAACATCTGTCTAGACCTGTCGTGAAGACGTCAACCGTTGTAGATTCTCAACGAAAGGGGAAGCTTGTTGATGTTCCAGTGGGACTGGAAAGATAGGATGAATCCCGTACATGTTCCTTCTTGAGCAGGTCGTTGATCCAAGAGTTGATACCGGTGCTCCGACTTCTTGATAAGTCTAAAGCGAATTCATCCGAAAAATCACCCTGGTCCGCCAATTTAATGCTCTCGTTCCTTGCATTAGCTGTCTGCTATGCCAGTTACGTGAAGTAAGAGAGGAAGAAAAATCGAGGTAAAGAGTAAGGGAACTCAGTTAAAAGAAGAGGATAATACCAATGGTGAGGGAAAGTACAGAAAATGGAATCGAAGTATGAAGATGGGAATTAGTCAGGAAAAAGGAATGGTTTCATGTTGCCACCCAGGAGCATTTAGTTGACGCTCAAACCCTTTAACCGTAGCTCCCTTGACAACATTTTCTGGAAACAAGTTCCAGCGCTCGATGACTCGACGCGATAACCGTGTCTCCGCTCTAACTCGATCGGACCGCGGTTTGTCCAGATTCATACAATGCCCGCGGAGACCAGATAATCTAGCAGGACTAAATAGCCAGGACAAATCAGGGTCAACCTTCCCGCTCAAAATACGGTAGGTTAGGATTAGGTCCCCTCTAATCCTTCGATAGTGCATTGAATGCATCCCCAAACTAAGTAGGCGTTCGGGGTACGTTTGTCCTCGTAACCCCTCGACCAACCTAGTACCGACACGCAACACCCTTTCTAGTGCCATTTTGTCCCGGACAAGGCATGGTGGACAGGCCTGGACGCAATATTCTAGGTGGAGTCGCACAAACGCTGAGAAGAGCTTCACAAACCTATTAGCGGTTAGGGTCCCGAAAGAACGACGGATAAACCACAACATCTGGAACCCTTTACAAGCTGCCTTCTTCCAGTTGTCTCCAGAGTGTAGTGTGGAACAGTGGATGACACCTAGATCAAACTGGTGAGTCACGTGAGGAAGTTCACTCTCATCGAGCACATAACTTGTGGAGGAATCAGACGCTCCAATACCCAGCACTGAACACTTTACCCTGTTTATGGGCAGCAACCACAATACATACCATTCTCAGGTACTATCCAGAGCCCGTTGAAGAGCCACAGGACTTCCAGGGATATCAACAATATTCTAGAACTCTAGGTCCTCAGCAAATAAGAACGATAGTACCTCCAACTCCCCTGGCAAGTCATTTGCCTAGACTGCGACTACAGCGGACCTAGGACAGAGCCTTGTGGAACGCCGCTAAGGACAGCTTGTCGAAACGAAAGACTGCTTCCCACACGAATACACTGTTCCCGTCCATCCAGAAAAGCTGACACCCACTGGAGCACGCAACCAGTTATTCCATAGGACTTCAACTTCAGTGAGAGTCGCGAGTGTGGGACAGTGTCAAAGGCCTCGGGGAAGTCAATGAACACCACATCCACCGCATGTCCACTGTCTACGGCTTCAGCCCAGCTCTCACGAGCTACCAGCAACTTCTTTGACACGAAAATCTTTTGCGAAAACCATGTTGCTCGACACTAAGCAGATAAAACCTATTCATATGGTTCTCCACTGTATCTCGTACTAATTTTTCAGGTAATTTAACGACCACGCTATTCAAGCTGACAGGCCTTTAATTAGCCGGTAGGTCTTTGTCACCGCACTTGACAATTGGGCAGACAACAGCCTCCTTCCATTCGGTGGGTAAGACAGCTGTTGAGTGGATTATTAGAATGTAGAGAGCCGAAGGAAAAATCCTTTGTCAGCTCCATCTCCTCCCGTTCGTCACAGTGATCGAGGTGGATATTGCAAGTCGGTACCAATGGAACCGCT